CGAGAGAGAGACGAAAAGCCACTGAAGAGAGAGGGAACTGAGAAACACACGATACTAGATGGAGGTCTAGGTGTCCCATTAAGTATATTAAATTACAAGACTAATAATAAAAGTAGTTCACCTATTCCTGTATTTAGTAGATCATATAAAGATATGATATAGTAGTATAAGTGCTTCAAATTTTAAAAGATGTTCATTAAAATTTATAGAACTTTAGAGGCCAATAGGTGGCACAGTGGTTAAGGGCATTAGACTCCCACATGGCTGACCATGGTTTGAGTCCTGGAACTGGTGGCTTGCTTTCTCACTTCCCCTCTCTCTCTGTGTCCCTCTCTGGTCAAATTAAAATAAATAATTTTAAAATTAATTAATCAATTAATTAATTTATATTTGACAAGAGAGAGAAAGAAAGAAAGTGAGAAAGCAAGCCACCAGGTCTGGGACTCAAACCATGATTGGCCATGTGAGAGTCCAGTGCCCTTAGCCACCATGCCTCCTGCTGGTCTCTAAATAAAATAATTCTTAAAAAATAAAATAAATAAAATGTATAGAACTTCAGAAAACAAAGTTTTGCCCAAACATCTAAGTTTTTGTTAGATAAAAATACAAAGCATTTTTTTTACTATGTGAAACTCCTATGCATCTTGGTATCTTTTTTTTCCTTCTGTGAATTTTTAAAATTTTAATTAATTAATTTTTTATTATTAATATATTAAATCGCTATACATCATTTAGATTGTGGGGAGACTTTACCCAGCATGATATACACCTCAGTCCAGCCCAGTTCAGACTATTATACACATCCTTGTCAACAGACAATAGACCTTATCTGTGTCCACAAGCGTCTAACCTCTCCACCCATCCCCAATTTCTGTTCCTAGGCTCATCCCCTCCCACACTATCTTTCCGCTTTGTCTTTAGTGTTCATTACAGTTTTTAATACTTTTATGTTTTCCAGTCTTTCAGTCTCTACCATAGAGTGTGGAGAGTCAGTATATGTTAAGTGGAGATATACAATGTCTCTCTTTCATAGCCTGACTT